GAAAAAATAAATAAAAAGGCAGTTCAAGTAATACTATAGGAAGGTCTCAGATTTGAGTTTTGAAGGCTATAAGTCCATTGGTTTCATGTTGTATAAATGTAGAGGGAAAAGAACCAATGAATCACTAAGGCAAAAAAGTATTAACTGAAGTTCATATGTATTGTATTGGATGGTTATAAGCTTTGTGTAACAGTACAGACAATCAAGGCAGAATTCTGTTCTTCATCTGTTAAAGAAACTGTGCAGGAGAAAATCATTCCAACTTTGGAAATTTAAAACAACCTGTAGCTGTTTGGGAGAATGAAGAGAAAAATATTCTACATTTTCCTCTATAATTAACATACAAATTACTCTATGTCATTAGAACCACTGAACTGTTCAAGAAGCAAATGATTCTTTATCATGGGATCACTTTTTGTTTATTTCAGCATTAAAACAAAACATGAAATGCAGTGTTCTGAAGCTTTGTATCTTGGGTATTTGACCCTTATTTTTAAAAAACGGGAAAAAATGTTGTTCATAGGGTTGGGCAAGCAACCTGAAAAAAACAAAGACCCTTCTTTTAAATAGCTACAGGTGTAAAAAAAATTATATCTTTTGATTGGTTCTGATTAAGCCTCAACATAGGCAGTTTATTCACGTAATGTTCTCTAATTTATCAAGCTTTGAATCTCATTGAAATGTGTCTGTATGGAGTTCTCAATTTTTTTCTTGGCAATTCTTTCATCATCTCTAATAAGCTTTCCTAACAGGTTTCTCATAAATATTGGCTATCAAGACTACATTTAGAAAGCTCTATGTACCTTCCCATTTTAATCCACACTTGAGTGGGTAAAAACTAGCTCATAGCTCTCAGATAAGTATAAAAATCTAGGTTAGTTTATTAGGTTAGAAGTGAGCTCCAGTGTTGGTCCTTCACAACTCTAGCTCAAATTAATTTGGGGTAGTTACTTTTTGACAGTCTTAGTAAATAGTATTTCTTGGTTCCATGTTGTGTCCCTCTGTTATATTCAGTGTTCAAAAAGTTCTCCGAGGAGGTACCCTCAGGACAATAATTAGGAAGCAGACCTCAGAACTGCATTTTAAATCAAGCACTTATTAAGTGACTACCATTTTCAGATGATGTGGATATTAAGTGAAACAAAACATTATCTCTTCAAGGAATCTACATTCTATTGGGAAACAATTATATGTTTATAAGTAAATACAATCTCTACACAAGGTTATTTGGGGGAGGAAGAAGGAGGTTAACAGGGGTGATCAATAAAAAGTTTCTAAAAGAAGTGGCATTTGAGCTGAACTTTGAAAAGATGGCTTCTAAGAAATGGAGGCAAGGAAGGAGTTATGGGAAACTGATAAGAGATGGAACAGCAAGCAGACCACTTTGGCTGGGATGTTTGAATTGAAGGAGAATAGTGAAATAACTATGGAAAAGGTAGGAAGAGAGGTAGATGATAAAGGGTGTTAAATGCCAAACTGAGAAACTTATATTTTACCCTATATCCAGTAGGGAGCCATGGTAGCCTCTTGAGCAACAGAGTAACATTGTCAGACATGTGCTTTAGGAATATCCCTGGCAGCTGAGGGGACGATGGAATGGACACGGAGAGACACTTAGAGCCATTAGGAGATTGGCAAGTAAGGATAGATAGAGGTGACATTTTTTTCCCATGTGCTTCTGTCATTACTTTGTAGACTCAGTTCCTCCAGTATTTTCCATTACGCAACTCTTCACAAGCAGAAAGCTTCAATGGACTCCAGTCCTCTTGTGCCTTCCCTTTTGTGTAGTGAAATACTAGTGACTTAGCAATGCTTGGGTATTTTAATGTGTTTTCTTCATTCAAAACAATTTTGATCCTGCTCTTAAACAAGTTGATTTGAATTTAGCAATTCGTCAGTTTTCAAAATACAATCTTGAGAATAATGAGAAGGATAATAACATTCATTCAAAGACATCAGAAAACTCTGATGCAATGCAATAGCCAATTGTGACTTGAAAAGAGTGGTGGGGAAACATCCCTCCCTCCTAGCAAGAGAGACAGATGATGGACTATATACATAGGGAATAAAATATACGTTGCCCAACACGGCCAATGTATTTATTTTTGCTTAATTGTTTTCTTATAAGGATGGGTTCTTTCAGAGGTGTAGGTGGAAGCTATTAGGAAGTGCCAATGATTTTTTGGGGGGGGAGCTAGGCAATGGGATTAAGTGACTTGCCCAGGGTCACATAGCTAGTTAAGTGTCAAGTGTCTGAGGCTGGATTTGAACTCGGGTCCTCCCGACTCCAAGACTACTGTTCTATCCACTGTGCCACATAGCTGCCCCCGATGATTTTTTTTAAAGGAACTATTAATTTTTTTTTTAAAGACCCAGAAAAAAATGTGATTAGGGTAAAATTCCTAGAATGAATTTACCAGAATTACTGGGATGGAATGTTTATAATGATGCTGTTCATTTATGTGCAGGCAGATGACAAAAGAAAACATGTAAGAATGGCATCCCTATTTTCAGAGTGCTTAATTTGAGAGCAGCCTCATTGATTTGAAAGTAGCCTCAAACATAGCTTAAGCTATTCACCTTTATTTTTCATTGTGAGTAGTTGCCTTATGTCACTTCGGAGATATTAGAAAAAACAGATTTATAACTATGATTTGTCTGCTGGACAAAAACATCTACCAAATGGAACAAGATTCAGAGTTAATCTAACTTGAGCAGCCGAATCATTTTCTTCATGCCTATTCATTCATTTGGATAATGTGAAATGTAAGCAGTTGTCCCCTAGACCTCACTTAACCCTGCCTTATCTTAGAGTAGAGAATCTCACCCACGACAAAGAAAAGAAAATAACAATTCTTTGCTTCCCAATACCTTTTAAATTAATTCAACCAAGACAAACCATTTTGATAGACCGTTGGCCTGCCTGTGAGTAAATGATGACGTAGACAGTATCGCTTACAACATCCTATGAAGAGCTGAAGTTTGTTAAAAACTTGCCTGGTTAATTGGTTAACACCCTTGCTTGGTGTGTATTCTATAATTACCAGCGGACTGAAGGAGCTGTTTGCATCTGAAGTTGTGAGTCTTGCTGCGCCACTCCCCACCAGTCAGTCCCACAGCACCTTATAGTCCTCTCATATTTTCAAAGTCACACTTGACTAAAAAGGTTCATGGGTCATGTAGCTCATTCATCTTCCTCTGTGTATTTTTATAAGTGGACTTTCTACTGAAAGTCTACTATCAGACTGTCTTAGGATAAATGCCTATTTATGATCATTTAATATATCACTTCACACAAGGCAGTTTGGTGGCCCAGCGCATGGAGCGCTGGGCTTATAGGTAGAAGGATCTGAGTTCAAATGTGGCTTGACACTGGCTAGTTGTGTGACCTTGGACAAGTTACTTAACCTATGTATGCCTCAGTTTTCTCAACTATAAAATGGGGATAATAATAGCACCTATCTCTCAGGCTAGTTATGATGATTTGGGATAATTTGTAAAGCCTGCAGGGCCTGGCACTTAGGATGCACTATATAAATGTTAGCTATCATTATTATTATTATTATTACGTTTTATATCTTAAACACCCGTTTTTAATAAGTCTAATAATTATTCTAAAATTGATTTTTTTTTAGGCTAGGTAATGGGGTTAAGTGACTTGCCCAGGGTCACCCAGCTCATAAGTGTCAAGTGTCTGGTCTGAGGTTGTATTTGAACTCAGGTCTCCCTGAGTGCTGTCTCCCCTGCACCACCTAGCTGCCTCACTAGAAGTGATTTTTTTAATTTTTATTTTTTTAATTAGGCAATTGGGGTTAAGTGACTTGCCCAGGGTCACACAGGTAGTAAGTGTAAAGTATTTGGTCTGAGGGCAGATTTGAACTCAGGTCCTCCTGACTTCAGGGCCAGCACTCTATCCATTGTGCCACCTAGCTGCCCCATCTAAAAGTGATTTTTAAAGCAAATTTTATATGGAATCCATAATCTCTAAAGGTGATGCAGTGGGTGGAATGCCAGGCCTGGAGTCAGAAAGATTCATCTTCCTGTGTTCAAAACTGACCTTAGACACTTACTAAGCTATATGACCCTGGACCAGTCACTTAACCCTATTTGCCTCAGTTTCCTCATCTATAAAATGAACTGGAGAAGGAAATGGCAAACCACTGAAGTATCTTTGCCAAGAAAACCCCAGATAGGGTCATGAAGAGTCAGATACAACTGAAAAGGACTGAACAACAACAGAGTAATCTTGAAAGTTAGCCAGAGACCATAATTCAGCTCTAAAGCACTGTTTATCTCTACCTCCACTCATTTTGTCATTTTACTTTCTTTTAAATGTGAAAGTATATGCTATTCAAGTTTATTTTCATTTTGAATTCTTGGGATAGTTGGGTTGTTTTTAGTAAAATACATTTCAAGCTCTTCTTGAAATAGATTTTTTTGGTTCTTTGGTATTTGCATATAAGAATAATTAATAAGAATAAAAGTAGCTAACATTTGTATGGTGTTTACTCTGCCAAGTGCTGTGCTAAGCGCTTTACAAATATCTATTTTGTTCTTTATAACAACCCTAGGAGGTAAGTGTTATTATTGTACACATTATACAGTTGAAGAAACTGAGGCAAACAGGTTAAGTGACTTGCCCAGGGTCACACAGCTATTGTCTGGGGCTGGACTTGAACTTGGGTCTTCTGACTCCAGTGCTCTACTGTACTACCTGGTACATATATGTTTACTCCTCTTCTGAAAATTGAATTTAAATTATTTTAAATTTCTGTCATTATTACTGATTAGATAATTTGTGTCTGTACCACTCATGTCATTGCTGGGAGGCTATATCACATGAAGAAATAATAGTTTTGCAATATGTATAATATGTTTACAGCCTGAAATCAGAAGTTGGTTCTGATCTTACAAGAACTCATAATTAATCTTTGTATATTATCTCTAAGAAGATTCAAAGCCAAAATATATTGATTTTTTTTCTTCCTTCCTTTTTACAGTGTTTGAGAGATTTAAGGTGGGCCTGAAACCCTCAGAAACCAGAGGACTCCTGGAAACTTCAGAGAGAGTTTTACATTCAGGCTGCAGTATTCTCAGCAACACAATTTGACAGGGACAAGGGGCCCTACATTTTGGTGGAGTGAAAACTTGAGCCAATAAAGCCAAATCTTATAGTTGTTTTTGCCTTTGCAAGCAGCATATAGCGCTCCTGGCTCTGTGCTGATCACAGATTGACATTTAAAATGTGAATTTGATATCTGAGGTCCCTATTCCCTTTAGTCAGAGACTTACAGTCTGTGATATCTCAAGTGTTGTCCACATGGAACTCTTAGGATCTTAACAGCAAAAAGAGAAACAAAACATAATCTACCATCTCCAAGCATCAGTAATGATTTGGAGGTCTTATTTAATTTTTTTGGTTTTTTTTCTACTCTTCTCTAAGAACCTTCCTACCCCTTCATTTCCACTCCTCCCACTAAATAAAGAAGCAAATTATGAATGGAGAAAATCATAAGCTGAATTTTTCCTGACCTCTTTGCCATGCTGCCTTACAGTCCAAACACTGAAATGATTCTCTTCTCCCACCCTACCCGCCACCCCTGGGCTGAGGGAATGTGTGGAGGAGCTCTAAAGAAAACACAACAACAACAACAACTAAAAGGTAGCTTCTTTGAAAATAAGTACCCCTTATAAATGATATTGAACCAGTGGCCAAAACACTCAGAAGACCAAAAAAGTGAATAGCTACAGTACTTGGTTCCTGTTTGACCAGGAGCTGGATATCATGGCTTTAGATGGGATATTTTATACCTGTACGTTTTTCATTACTGACTGTTTTGGACTTCAATCAAAAACATATTGTAGATTTTAATGTTGAAAATGTAGAAACATCTGAATGTTATATTCTAGGAAGCAATAAATTGTAACTGAAATGAATGCTTGTACATACTAAAATAGCCATAAAATGTTTGTCTTCTCTTAAACAGCTTAATTATTTGACAATTATAACTTGCTCAGACATAGAACTATAATCACTGTGCTAGACTGAGACAGGAGATTAAAAACAACACTGATACAGTATATGAACAGTGCCTGAAGGGGTCAGTGGTGGTTAGCACTCTGTGTTTAACTGTGTTTATGCTACAAAAGTGCAATATTAGACACTGTAGTTCAGTTAGGTAGTACAGTTGCATCACCTAACTCCAAAGAAGAAACCAGGTTTGAGTAAACTAATTGCACATATTTCATTAAGTAACTCCTCTGCCTTTTGCTTGAATGCAAACATATGTGGCTGCTAGTGGCTGCTATTTTTACTCACTTAGCATTATTTTGGATCATCATATACCTTGAATGGAGAGCCAAACAATGCCCCTCCTCAGCCAACCACAGATGGCCAACCTTTAACTTCAGTAGGAAGAGAAAGTTCATAATTTAGATGAAAACTAGTGACTACTGGCACTTAAGATCAGAAAAGAGAATTCTTAATACTTGAGATGCCTTAAGGTACTGTCTACCCAAAGCTTTGAAAGCCTTACAAGGTAAACAGTTAAACTAACACTAATATGTGTATTGATGTGTTGTTTTTTGTAGAATTGTTGACATTTGATAATAAAACTCTCCTTCCTGACTAATCTCAATGTTTGTGCACTGCTGTTTTTTAATTCTCATTTTGTTACTGGAAGAGTAGAGTGCTGAAAGAAGGCAAAATAAAATCTCTGGAGATTTGAATTTTGTTTTCCTCTCTCCTATATGACTACCCTTGAGTTTTCATGAAGTCTTATAAAATGACTCTTTAAAAGCAAAGGCATTCCCTTTTTCATCTTGATTTATCTCCCCTACTTTACCTAGCAATGTGCTTTGCACACAGTAGGTTCTCAATAAATGTTGGTTAAAAGTGAAAAAAAGTGGGTCCCATTCCCAACTCAATATCTAATACAATGTATCCTGTTCTCTAAAGTTTAAAAAAAAAAATGCAGTACCTACCGGATTTTAGAATCTTTAAAGATTAATATTGGAAAATTTCCAATTAATGTGGCCCACCAATCGCCTCTGATCTTTTTTCCCTGGACTGGTTTTTTCCCAGAGGATGAGGGCTGGACATAACTATGTGGCTATTACTCCAATTTGCTCAGGCCCTCAGGGTAACCTTAGTGTGTATGTGAGGAAAAAAAGGAAACACACTCTTACACAGTATGGCTCCCAAGCCCTCACTGGTATGCTTTTCGTTAGTTGTCATGATAACTATCATAATAACGTTAACTCTTTTTCAAAATTAGTTTTTATTAATATCTTTGGTTTTTATGTTGCCTAAAATTTCATCTATATCTATTCACTCCTCCTTCCTAAAGAGGAAGCCCAAACAGTTCTCTAAGGTATATTCATTACAACAAAGAACTTTAAAAAAAAATTTTAAAAAAAGAGAAGAGGAAAAATATGCAAAGCTGATCACTACATCCCCAAAATATGACAATATATGCAGTGTTCCACACCTATGAAGCCCTCACGTCTGCAAAGGAGAGAAGAGAGATGTCTTTTTAGATCCCTTCTTTGGGGATCTGACTTGTTCTTTGTAATCTGCAACATTATTTTTTGACTGTTTTGTGACCGTTTTTCTTTCCACTTCCATTGTTGTCATTGTGTATGTTTTCTTGGCCTTGCCTACTTTCCTTTGCTTCAGTTGATCTAAGTCTTTCCATGCTGCTTTGTATTCACCACATTTGCCATTTTACTGCATAACAATAGTTCATTACATTCCTATGCCACAGTTTGTTTGGCCATTCCCAAATCAGTGGACATCTACTTTCTATACAGTTCTTTGGTACTACAAAAAGGGCGTCTATAAACATTTTAGACACCACTAACTCAAACATAAAACAGTTACTTCAGCATAAGGCAAAAGCAACAACAGTCATAACTTACTCAACAGGAGGCAAGAAGAGGAATGATCGTATTCAATAGAATGCAAGAATAGGAATAATATAAACCCGGGTCACAGTCTACCACTAATACACACATGCAGAAGTGTGGACATACACCTTCGGAAACCTAGCAGGGAAGCAGATGAATAGGCAAATACATGTGGCTGAGGCAATCACAACTCTGAATGGCAGGCCTTGATGTCCTGGGGCTATTTAGAGTATAATCTGCAGAATCATCACCTGCCAGGTAAAACTTCCTCTGCTGTCTGCTAGCCTGTAGATCCTGCTGGGCAAAGAGTTCTCTGTCATTCTTAGACCACTAAAGTAGGGACAAATTCTTTTAACATGCAACCAACCATCACAGGGTGCTGAGAAACAATTATACTCTTCCATTTGAAACAGTCCCCAAAAGCCAGAGAACTGCCAATCTCTCTCAGGTCATCTCTAAAATTCTGGGCAGTTTCTCCCTCACAAGCTGTAGACAGTGAAAGGGTCATGCAGCCTTGCCCCAGCCAATTCTTCAAACAGAAGAGGATTCTGCTTTGTTCAATCAGCTCTCAGTCATGCCATGTCTCCTCTCACTCAGAGAAGATGCAAATCTTTGTCTTCCTTTGGGGAACCTAAGACGCAAGAAAGAGCAGCATAAGCAAAACTCTTTGAGTTTTCCCCTCAGAATACAGGGCAGTCTTTCCTTCTGCCAGCCAATCAGTTCTCAGCAGGGTCTCTCAACATGGCTCCCAGCAAAACAACTCTAGATCCTGCCTGTCAGCTTTGATTAGTTCTTATCAACTTTTGTATTCTATCTTCTGCGGTACCCTGGCTTGAAGTCAGGAAGATCTAAGTTCAAATGTGGCCTCAGACACCTACTAGCTATGTGACCCTGGGCATGTCATTTAATCCCTGTTTGCCCCAGTTGCCTCATCTGTAAAATGGGTACTATAACAGCATCTACCTCCCAGGGTTGTTGAGGGGATCAAATGAAATTACAATTGCAAATTGCTTTGTATAGTGCCTGGTACAAAGTAGACTTTATATAAATGTTGGCCATCATCATTCCATAAACAGCCCCTCTCCTCGGCCTCTTGTTCTTTTTGTTTAGGACAAGAGAGGTAATAGCTCTGCTGTCCTCTGCATTGACCAGACCACATCTGTAAGACTGTACTGAGTTCTGGGCACCACATTTTAGAAACTAGTAAGCTGGTGTCAAGAATCCTGCCCCAAGAGGAGTAATGATTGAAAGAAGTGAGGGCATTTAACCTGGAGAAAAGACTCACAGGGGAGACGTTACAGCCTTATTCAGCTTCATAGGATCATAGATTGGTAGCTTGAAAGGACTTCAGAGATAACTACTTTGCTACTACCCTTACTTTATAGGTGAAGAAACAGAGGATCAGAAATATCAAGTGATTTGTTTTTTTTATTAATTTATTTTGATTTATCAATAATCACTTCCATATGCTTTTGAGTTTAAAATTTTTCTCTCCCTTCCTCCCCACCACCCTCCCCAAGATGGCGCACAATCTGATATAGGCTATACATTTACATTCCTATTAAACATATTATCACATTAGTGATGTTGTAAGTAAAAATTAAAACCAATAGGAGGAATCATCAGAAAGAGGAAACAAAACTCAACAGAAGAGAAAAAAAATAGCAATTCAACTTCCATAGTTCTTTCTTTGGATGAGGGTAGCATTTTCCATCACGAGGTCTCTGGAGATGTTTTAGATTCTTGTATTGCTGGGAAGGGTTAAGTTTATCAACATTAGTCATCGCACAATATGGCTGTTACTGTGTACAACATTCTCTTGGTTCTGCTCACTTCACTCAGCATCAGACCATACAAGTCTTTCCAGGTTTTTCTGAAGTCAGCCTGCTCATCATTTCTTGTAGCACAATAGTATTTCATTACATTCATATACCACAACTTGTTCAGCCATTCCCCAATTGACGGGCATCCTCTCAATTTCCAATTCTTTGCCACCAGAAAAAGAACTGCTATAAATATTTTTGTACATGTGGGTCCTTTTCCCATTTGTATGATCTCTTTGGGATATAGCTCTAGAAATGCTGTTTAATAGCACAGGGTCAAAGGGGATGCACATTTTTATAGCCCTTTGGACATAGTTCCAAATTGCTCTCCAAAATGGTTGGATCATTTCACAACTCCACCAACAATGCATTAGTGTTCCAATTTTCCCACATCTTCTCCAACATTTATCGTTTTCCTGTTTTGTTATGTTGGCCAATCTGATAGGTGTGATGTGGTACCTCAGAGTTGTTTTGATTTGCATTTCTCTAATCAATAGTGATTTTGAGCATTTTTTTCATAAGACTATAGATGGCTTTAATTTCTTCATCTGAGAACTTTCTGTTCATATTCTTTGACCATTTATCAATTGGGGATCTATGCCTCTTCTAATGTAACCCAGGATCACATTAGCTTCTTCGGCTGCCACAGTACACTTGAAACATTGCCGTTGCAGTTCCCTAAATTTGCAGATCATTTTCAGATCATCTGCTGTCTAGCTGCGTTTTCTTCATCTTACCCTTGATTTTCTTTAATCCATGTGTAAGATGCTGTATCTAAACCTATTAAGTTTCATCATGACATTCAGAAAAGGAAGCAAACCAGGCATCTAGAGGGATTGAGGAATAGCCAACAGACACCCCATATCCTCCACTGTTATCTATGTAATAGCAAAGAATCAGAGGGAGCCCCCCAGCATGTTGAGTATAACTCTTATGAGCAGTTTTTGGGAGAAAATGGAATAGTTGCACCAGATGAGAAGACATGTATGAACTGTGAGCTATAGTTTTGGAAGAAGCATCCATATCAAGGAAATAGCTTTTGGGATCCTGATTCTGTCATACGTATTAGCTACTCTTCCAGCTTTGTATCATCTACAAATTTGTTGAGCATGTCACCTATGCCTTTATTTAACTACAATTAAAAATGTTTAATAGCACAAGGTCAAGAAATATTTGGTTTTTATTTGTCTTTACTATACTTAGGCATTTCAATTTGGATCCTAACCTGCCACTTAGTGGGCACTACATAATCTAGGAGTTCCCTTTTAGCTGAACAATTCTATAACTGACTATGGCACAGGATAGATAATACGGACTAGAGTCTAATCTATTATTTTGCAGGTTAAGGAAATGAGCCCCAGGAAAGCTAAATGTTTCACCCAAGGTTACTTACCTAATTAATGGCAGATCAGAGACAAGAACTTGGATTCCCTGATGTTTAGTTCAATGCCAATTCTTTACTGCTGTACTGAAGGGAAGAAACTAATTGGTAGGATGACGAATGAAATAGGCCCAAATGGGAGGTAGGATAGGAGCCCTGGAGACTCAATTCCATCTCCTTAAGGATGATATTTTTCACTAGATTTATCTTAACAATGGCATGCTACTGAAAATGGAAACTATATCTCTGGTTCTGACCTTTATTTTGAGCTTTAGACCCACATCTTTAGCTGTTTAGAAGATATTACCACCTGGATGCTTCATTGGCATTTTAAACTCCAACATGTCCAAAACCACATTCTTTATCTTCCTAAGTTGCTCTTCCTATTTTTATCTGCAGTCCTACCATTCACTCAGTCTCTTGTGTTTGTAATCTTGAGGTTCTATTTGGGTTCAAAAAGTGGAGAACTTGTTATATCTTGTCTTCCATCCCCCAAAGATATTTTCAATTTTTCCTCTCTCTGAAA